TGATTCCGACGTTCGATTTTAGGCTCTTTTTGACCGTTACATCCCATTATCTCAGGAAGTATTGGTGCTATGAGGTTGAACGCTAGCTTAAACGAAAGCCTTCAATGTCACGCACATTTTGCACTACTGTAGGTGCTGTGAATGTGTCGTTTAGTGCCCTAAAAACCCGCCAACAAAACGTCGGAATTTACATCAGATACCTCTGTAGGCGCATTCCTGGGTCCTGTTGCAGTGAATTGATTATGAGTTCAATTGATTGATTACACAAATTATAGAAAGATGAAATCAGCTTGAAGGTTTGAGATGTGGTGTAGATTTAGATACTAACCTTGGTCAATAATTACTTTGAAAGTCAAATTAATCCAAATCAGGTCATCAAGCCATATGAGTTGATGAGATAAATCCAATCTGTCTCCTCCATTATGCTTTGCAAATTGTATGATTCAAGTTGGCCATGGAGACTTATGCACAAATCGAAAAATAAAATTAAATCAACAGACCTATCAAACAAATCCTTCTTTGATTGAGATTGAAGAGTCCCATGTTGGAGTCAGAAGATTCACTAACTTGAAACATATATCTGTTTGGATCCACGGATGGGAGTTTTCAATTGGTCAAACAAATCTGAGATGATGGCATCTTGGTTGCAATTTCCATCAAGCTGCATTTGGGTATTGGATGGTTTGTGTGATTATGGGAGATGAATATATATCTCTATGCACACTACATTCAGATACGAAGTGTAGCGGGTAAATTACTGCATTTGAAGATGGTCAATGCAAATTGATTCACAAAGATGAGTTTCTGCCCAAGACAAAACTGGAAAATCACACTAATGGTGGATTTAGTCGAGTTTTGTAAGCGAAGCGCCTTTGGGATTAAATGTTATGATATTTTCCGCCACAACTATCAAAACATGAAAAGGATAATATTTCATCTTCAGATAAACTCAAAAAAAACCAGTAAAAATAGATTTTTGTACTCTAATGTGTGGGTGGTTAGGGGTTTGGGCTTGGGGCTCAGGGTGGTTATGGTGGGGACAGGGGATATTTTCATGTGGAAAA